TTCTGTTCTGCCGGTGTGCCACAAATGTGTACCCACATATTTTGGTACAATAAGCCTCTCTGTTATCCTCGCAGCCCTTTCACACCTGCCCTTTTCCTCCTCCCATATGATGAAAACCTTAAAGTGGGTTGAGAGAAAGAGAGAGGAAGGGGAAAAACGTTTCCACTTCGTCGGGGCAGCTTAAGAGTTTGTTATTAAAAACATGACAACCCATTCAGCCACTAAAGGTGCTTACTCAAGGGAATGCATGGAATGTTTATTCTTTGATTAATTTGCTTGGAGGAGACCTGAAATTCCCCCACTCATGAATATGTGGGTGACAGCGAGATTTCTCCGTGGTGACAAGTTATCTAAACAACAGGGCAAAACGATTATGCTAATATCAGGTTGTAGTCATCAATCATCGCGTGTCAATGTGGTGTCAACGCATCACGTTCCCGATCCCACCCCCTCTGGCCATGTGTGCCAGTGTAAATGCGTGCGTGGACGTGTGCAGCTGTGCGCCTGTGTTTATTGAGAGAGGAGAATTGATCACAACTCTCTTTACGCCTGGGGACTCTCGGGAGCATCGCTGCGCAGAGCTGTTCTCTTGGATAAGAGGCGAAAGGAAACTGGGAGGGAATTAATTAGGAGTGAGTTTCTTCATCTTGATATGAACACCGAGTAACACACACACACACACACTCGCGCGGAGTCCAGGCTGACGTCAGACAGACGCGCCTTAAAAACCAAAGAGCGCATCACGGAGAGATGCGTGGTTTGATCACACACACAAACTGGCGTTGGATTGTAAGAGAGCAGGGACACTTTAAAGAGCAGGAGCAGTCTAGTGGATGAGGTGGAAACTGCGGGTGAAGCCGAGAAGTTACTTTGAAAGTCCGTCAGCGCTTGTGCGTAAAATGAAAGCGCTGCGTAAATGTCCGCGTGTCCACTTTTGGACGAGATGGTAGATGAAATTCTAATTTTAAAAAAAGCTGGAAAGTTGACCGGAAAGTATCTCTGAACTAGTGTCAGGGCAAAATAATTTAAAATATTTTTTTAAAATCTGCGTTTGGTACGGATGCTGCTGGAAGTCGCTCCACATCTGCACTCCACTTATTTCCTCTTTGGTCACATTTGAACCATGGCTTACTCTCAGCTGGGATACTCCTACTCCACCACGCCACAGGTACGGGTAGTATTTTGTTTTGTCTTTGATGTTATTGACGAGGACCTGAGCTAAATAAGGAGGATAAATCGATTTTAACTGGTCAAAAAATAGTCCATCAACAACTCCACTATGGAGAAAATGTGACAAAATCAGCACGTCGGTGCTGTTTTATTTCAGCTTTTGTTTTGCTTTTGAGAAAATAACTGAGATTAAACATTTGCTCATTTGTGAAAGTAAGGAGACATTTAAGCGCCAGTGTACGTAACAGAGTTTCTATACACACCAGATTCCCTTTCCTTTATGGATATCTTTGAGTTCGTTTCATACATTTTTCCTTAGTTTCTGATGACTTCAGGCTCCCTGGCCGGTTGCTTGGAGCCGGGAACCCCCCCGTCCCACCCGGTGCTGCGCTCACCGGGCCACCAGCTCACCCCAGGAGCAGGCATCGGCGTCTACAGCGGCCCTTATCCAAAGAGCCAGAGCTATTACAACACCTGCGCTACGGACGCCGCTCTCTATTCCAGAGTGAGTGTCACACTTCACTTCTAACTCTTTAATTCTCGGCTTTCAAAGTGTTCACTTCCGGATTTTTTTTCTTATTCGTTTTGCCCTTACGGTAAAACCGTGTAAAGATTGTCTCTTGTGCAGGAACATTTCTGAAAACACATAAATAAATAAAAGTTTTAACCTTGATTAGGCATTCATTTCTTCAATATTTTCAGGGGCCACTAGATCACAAAGAAGGAGCTGCATCTGTGCATGTGGGGACATCTCAGACTCCTGCCTATTATCCTTATGAATACACATTTGGACAATATCCTTATGACAGATATGGGTAAGTGAACAAGAATGCTTTCATGCTTAAATTAAAACATATTTTTAACATGATAACTGTAAAATATCGGTGTCAGCATTATCAT